GGAAGCGGCTTTAGATTCTCAGTGCTGTGCTTTAACCCGCTGTGCCACCAGGGAGGGCCTAAAATCAATTTTTATTGGTAGATCTCTACATGATTTTTGGTGTGTAACTTAAAGGAAATTGATACTTTCATTGACATCCCATTTTATATTTATGAGAACAAGGCCTCTCACTATTAAAACAATAGGAATAAAATTGATTAAATGTTATGTTATTTGAATATTAAATAACTTTTTTATTTACTCACATACCTGAACTAATTGAAGACAGAACAGTATGTCCATGTCATTATAACATGCATTTCTAATTGTAGTTTATGCTTAATGCCAATAATTATTTATCAAAATTGTTAATATACTTGTTTTGCTCAGATATATTTGATAATAATTCTAATAATAATGCAATCTAGATGACACCTATGGCTGTAACAAATAAAAAATATTGCAATATTTTTGATGAAGAGAAGTATGAAAGGATGATCAATAAAATGTTGCCAGCCAAAAAACTCTCTTGCATTATGACCAAAAATCTGGAAAATTAAAATGGAAGTATGAGTTCAAGGAGAAAAAGAGAAAAAGGAACAATGTAATTTACATTTGTTAAAAAGAAAAAAGAATTTGGTCATGTACTTTTGAAACTGAATAATAATAGCAAATTGCTATGGTATTTACAGTCTATTGGTTTCTATTTTAAAGAGTGATGTTACAGTTTTTATTTAAAATATGCTCGAAGGGGCCCTCCCTGGAGGAACCCTGGAGGGTTAAAGCACAGCACCATGAATCTATCTGTAGGCACTGCACCATGAGCCCCATTCTCAGCCAGGGAGGTGACCCACATGGCCCAGTAGACCTCTCCTGGCCCCGCCCACAGCTCCCCTCAGCAGCATATTTCAGTCAATCTGCCTGTTCTGCTTCCCATTCAGTCTCTGGTGGATGCTCTCATCCCCTACACCTCTGGTGTACCCCAGTTTTTATATGCATAAATAAATACATCTTTTTTAAAATAAATAAATAAATAGAATATGCTGGAAGTTACATTCCTAGCAACTATTTACACATTGTCTCTCAAGATCTAGATGTCAACTTAAAAATGTATAAAGGGGCCCTCCCTGGTGGCGCAGCAGATTAAAGCACTGTACTAAGAAGCTTAAGCCACCTCTGCGTGAGTTTGATCCCTGCATACCCCGAAGGAGATCCACATGGCGTGGCAGACCTCCCCTGACCCGCCCACTGCTCCCCTCAGCAGTGTACCTCGTCGATCTGCCTGTTCTGCTCCCCACTCTGTCCCTAGTGAATCCTCTCACCCTCCACATCTCTGGCCTATACCCCAGTTCTATATGAATAAATAAATAAATCTTAAAAAAAATGTATAAAGGAGTATTTTGTCCTTTGTATTCTACTAGGAGGTATATGAGAAAAAGTACTCATGTACTTTTTCATGCTACTAGTCTACACCTGTGATATATTCTCATGTCTGTCTTGAATGGGTTTCTTCTCTTTCTTATTGAATTTCAAATTTTCTTCATATAAGAATTATGTCCTATTTCTTGTTTTTTTTTTCCCCCAGAGATTTGGGCAGCAGCATGTACACAAAGTAAGCAGTCATGAAGGGGCAGGGACTGACTTAAGCAGTCTTTGTACTTTAGCAGTATTGTAGGCCCTGCTCATGAATTATGTGCATTTTGCAAAAATTGTTCAGGTTTGCTCTTTGGTTAGTTAGGAAGGTTTTCTCATCCGAAAATATAATTTTTCCCTACATTCCCCCACCCACTTTGAATGCTTAGAATTCCTTTAAATAATGTTACAAATTTTCATTCCCCCTTTACCTAAAAATGTATATACGATAAAAGAGAGGTAGCAGGGACCTAGTAAAGATTCTACTAGATCAATTCCTGAGCACAAGTTTTTGGAAAGAAAGGTGAGGATAACCAAAAGGTTTATATGTTGGCTTCTTGATTGACTATAGACGAAGCCACGCATCTGTTCTTTACTGAATAGATTCTGAGGAGCAAATTAGGTTGGACCTTATCGCTTCTAAAATAATCACACATACCCTTCCCTTAAAATCCTCAAAGTGGAGAAGACATCACCTTTGAACATAGACGGTCCCAGCACCTAACCTGACTGGGAAATGAAGATTATATTAAGAATGATGGTGCTAGATCTCCAATTGGTAGGCTACCTCCAACTAAAACTAAACAGTCACAACTGGACCTTCCGGTGGGTGAGAAAATGATTTAAATTACTTCCTTTCATGTTTCCGGTAACTCCACATAATCAAAGTTATTTGGCTACAATTTTTCCTCCTCTGCCTTAGGGGAATGCCCAAACACAGTGGATATTCATTACATGTTGCTCAGATAAACAGATTTTTCAGAAAAGGAAGGTACTCCTGAGGAGTGATTGATCATGAAATTCAACTGTCAATTAATCTGAAACAAATCAAAGTATAATCAAATGTACCTTTTATTCATTTTTCTTTGCAGCAAGTGAAAGGAAACTTTACCAGGTTGCAGGCCTGCATCTCAGAACTTCGCATGTTGCAGAGGGAAGGTTGTTTCAGACCACAGAGAACTTCTCTGCAGCAGGCGGTGGAGGATGGGCTCCAGCAGTTCAAACAGTACAGCAGACATGTGATCACAGGTACAGCTCTGACCTGCGCCTCCCTGGAGGTAAGCGATGCTGGTCTTAGGACTCTGAGCCACACTCTCACTTCAGTCCATGTAGCTGCTTCATTATTTATCATCCATATGGTGTCCTGTTTTATATATAATGACGGTAATTTTCAAGACTACATTTTTAGTTCCCTCCAGGCAAGAGACATATTCCCTTTTCCTTGTATAGGCTGTGCAATTCTTAATACAGAGCTAACCACCAAGGGGAGCTCCAAAAATATGAACCAAAGTGAATTATAAAGAAAAACTGAAATCAAAATAAAATCTGAATATACTATCTGCCTCTGGGTTTTTGGAACCTATAAGGCAAACTTTAAACTTCTTAGATGGGTGTGTGTTATTATATTAATAATTTACAATTGTGGCCCTCCCTGGTGGCGCAGCGGGTTAAAGCACAGCACTGAGAAGCTAAAGCCACTTCCGCATGAGTTCGAATCCCGCCTGCCCCGGAGGTGACCACGTGGCGTGGCAGACCTCTCCTGACCCGCCCGCTGCTCCCCTCAGCAGTGTACTTCCTTGATCTGCCTGTTCTGTTCCCCACTCTGTCTCTGGTGAAGCCTCTCACCCTCCGCAGCTCTGGCCTGTACCCCAGTTCTGTACAAATAAATAGATAAATCTTAAAAATAAATAAATAAATAAAAGTAATTTACAGTTGTTCCTAATTAAAGCTTAGCAACAAATTCAGTACATTTGCTTGGGATTAGCAAATGTAAAAAGTGCTGAATTGGCCCTCCCTGGTGGCGCAGCGGGTTAAAGCGCAGCACTGAGAATCTGAGGCCCACTTCCGCATGAGTTCGATTCCCGCCTGCCGCCTGCCCCGGAGGAGACCACATGGCGAGCCAGACCTCTCCTGGCCCGCCTGCTGCTTCCCTCAGCAGTGTACTTCGTCAGTCTGCCTGTTCTGCTCCCCATTCTGTGTCTGTTGAATCCTCTCACTGTCCCTGTGCCTCTGGCCTGTACCCCAGTTCTGTATGAATAAATAAATAAATCTTAAAAAATATATATATATATATATTAAAAAAAAAAGTGCTGAATTTCTGGTGCCACGCTAAGGCAATCTTAAAAATCTAAGTCACACAGCTTCCCTGCCCACCTCTGATAATGCAGGCATTTCTTTTAGAAGCCCTTTCCTTTTGCAAAACAGCAGGAACAGCATTTCCTGCTGCTTGTGTCTGTACAATTGTCTTCTTCTCCTATCCTCTTTTTTTTATAATAAACCAACACTTTTGGATATAAAATACACACACATCATGAATGGAAATATTGAATGTATGAGTGAACGTGAATTAAAATGTTTGCAGTCTCATAACCAAAGGCATTAAACAGGTGAGTTAAAATATAATCATGTTTTTGGGCCCTCCCTGGTGGTGCAGTGGGTTAAAGCACAGCACTGCAAGCAAGCTGCAGCCCTTTACTGCAAGTTCGATCCCTGGCTCCAAAGGTGATCCATATGGCACAGGAGACCTCTCCTGTCTCACCTGCTGCTGCCCTCAGCAGTGTACTTCGTCAGTCTGCCTGTTCTACTCCCCATCCTGTGTCTGTTGAATCCTCTCACTGTCCCTGTGCCTCAGGCCTATATCCCAGTTCTGTATGCATAAATAAATAAATCTTTAAAATAATAATCATGTTTTCATCTGTAGCCCTCTTCATCAATCAAAAATGTTTAGGTACAAAAAAATTACATATATTTACTATTTGCTTTCCATAGTTCCAGATTCAAGACAAAACTGATAATAATATATTCATTCAAGTAGAATAAAATGTGCAAATTATACTCAAATACTTAAATTCCTGCAGGCCAACTATATTGGTCAAGGATGAGTTCATTTAGAGTCAAAAGAGCAAAAGAAACAGCTCAACAGGATCGAGATTGAACAAAAGATATATCTACATGGAAGCATTACTGTGAGAAAGCCAAGTAAAAGCTCTCTAATACTTCGTACATATTTAATGAGTGGGATTAAGGATCCTATTTCCTTTGTTTCCTCATAATATCAAAGCATTTTCAACAAAAGAGATATTGCGAGTGTTTCGAGCAATCTTTTTTTTTTTTAAGATTTATTTATGTATGCATACAAGAACTGGGGTACAGGCCAGACGTGGGGGAAGTGAATGGATTCACCAGAGACAGAGTGGGGAACAGAAAAGGCAGATTTACTGAAATATACTGCTGGGGGGAGCAGCAGGTGGGTCAGGAGAGGTCTGCTACGCCATGTGGGTCACCTCCCTGGCCCTGAATAGAACTTCTGCTGCAGTGGCTGTGGACAGCTTCATAGTGCTGCACTTTAACCCCTTAAGCCACCAGAGAGGGGCCTGTTTGAAAAATAAAATACAGGATGGCTTCTCACTGGTCACTTTCTAGGGTTCAGCCTGCTTGGAGGATCCCATGTTTTCTCCCACCAGTCTGTGTAATGAAATATGATTCCTTAGTTACACTTCAATTCTCTTATTTTCCCTTAAAGACTATAGCCACTAACATAGGCTTCTGCTGCTTTTATTCTGCTTTTGTTCCTTTCTTCGTGCATAAGAGAATGTCGATACATTGATTTTTGGATTTATTTACAGATTACTGTTCTGACTTCCCATCCTGGAAAAGAGGTAGTCAAACAACTGGAGGAAGGGTTAAAAGATATAGACCTAGTAAGGGTCAGGAGGCTGCAGGTGGTTGAGATCAGAACAGGAGTGTGCAGACTAGAATGTGCGGACTCAGCATCCCCTGTTGAAGAGCCCAGCAATGATGGTAAGAGTTAAAAGAAAAGGTGGGAGAAATGATCAGAACTTTATTGAGTAGTCTTTTATAGATCATGAAGATTATTTTCCATGGTCTTTATGTTCTTAAATGATAGGTGAAGATAAACAGATTTTATTATGTGGTTCAGACCAGTAGCTCTAGGTGTTGAATTGTTTATTATTTTTCATTTCAGAAACAATATATGTTAGTGTGAAACCTGGAACATTATAGGCATAAAAAATAAAGTCTCCTTCCTTTTCTAATTAGAGATTAGTGTCCATCCCCCAATGTTTCTTTATAACATACATATATACAAGTAAGTGTTTAATATATTTATGGGATCATAATATACAAAATACTCTATAACTTTATGGGTTTGACAGCTGTTTATGCCAGGGTCTATTGACTTGTCTGATTTTTTTATTGTCTTCATGATTTTTTGCTGTGTATATATACCATTGTTTATTTGTGTAGTGATTTATTAATGAATAATTTGGTTTATTGCATTTTTCTTTTTTTTCCTTAAATGTTGATTCTAACACTTTTTAAAAAAAGATTTATTTATTTGTGCATACAGAAACGGGGTACAGGCCAGAGGTGTAGGGGCAGTGAGAGGCTTCACCAGAGACAGAGTGGGGAGCAGAACAGGCAGATCCACAAAGTACATTGCTAAGGGGAGCAGCCAGGAGTCAGGAGAGGTCTGCCGCGCCATGCAGTTCACCTCCGGGGCAGGGATAGAACTCACTGAAGCTGCTGTGGCCAGCTTCACAATGCTGCATCCTAACCCATTGTGCAACCAGGGAGGGCCTTACTGCATTTTTCTATAGTGACTAAAGCTGTGTATATACAGAGCTGTATATACAGCTGTATATACAGAGCTGGCTCAATGGGTTTCTGAGCAGTGGAGTCACACTGGGCACTATATTTGGCCCTATTTGTTTGTTATCTTGAAATTATGAGTAATTTAATTTTTTAATTTATGTTTTATAAGTAAAATTTGATGAGACAATGGAACATGTGCCAGGGGATTAGAATCTCAACTCACACATATCCTTCCTCCTGCATGCTCCCTGCAGTGGGTCTCAGTTGCCACATATCCAACCCACGTATCCCCAGTGTGTACTCCCCTACCCACAGACCACTGATGCCCAGGTCCTTGTCTATAATTCATATACAAAGCACCTGTAATCACATCAAGCACCAATAATCCAACACTTCCTAGAAGAAAAAATATTCAACTGAGTCGAAAAGGACAGGTAGGATTTAGTCAATCAGACAAAGAGGAAGGAACACTAAAAAAAATTAATTAATTAAAAAACCAACCCAGAAGCATGAGAAAGCAAGACACAATCAACTTCTGAAGAGCCACTCATAGTTCCTAAGAATGAAGCCTATCAGACAGAGCCTGGAGTGAGGTAGACAAGGATTAGATCTAGAAGGGCAATACAAACCCTAACCCCATTCTAAGATGTTGGGATTTCATTCAAAGGTAATGGAAACTTGTGAATCAATTTCAGTTAGGAAATTAAATAGAGATTCCTAAATTATGCGTTTGAGAGTTTTCAATTTATCCAGCACTCAAATTGTGGTTCGTTCTTCAACAGTGTTTTGCCACTTACCGGCCTCTGCTAAGGTTGTGCCATTGAGGAGGTACCCACTGACAGATACTGTTGATCTCTTCCTGATCCCATGTGAATAACCACACTCCCCCTAGCTCCCTAATTAGGTCAGATGTTTGTTATTCCTTTTTTTTTTAAGATTTATTTATTTATGCATACAGAACTGGGGTACAGGCCAGAGGTTCAGGGGCGGTGAGAGGATTCACCAGAGACAGAGTGGGGAGCAGAATAGGCAGATTGACAAGTGCACTGCTGAGGGGAGCAGCGGGCAGGTCAGGAGAGGTCTGTCACGCCATGTAAGTCACCTCTGGGGCAGGGATCGAACTTGTACTGAAGCAGCTATGGCCAGCTTGCAGTCTGTGCTTTAACCCATGGCACCACCAAACCCAAGGAGGGCCAGAGGTTTGGTATTCTTTTGGCCAAATTCTGACCAATATGTGGATCCTGCCAGCAGCATGAGGCCACTGCAGTTGTTCTGGTCGGAGAGGGAAGATAATCAGTCTAAGCTGTGTGGTGATGAGCTCTCACTAAGGTACACCCTCTGCTTTTTTCAAATCAGTTTTCTCATGACTGTCCTTTCTATCTCCATCACTCCTCACAGTAGTCTTTTCCTCTGAATTCCACCTTCTTTCCTCTGAATTCCTTCCCCTATCTTCTTCCAGCCAAATCCTCCTCTGACTCATTTGTGACTACTGTATTGATTTTCTACTTAGAATAGCCATGTCACTGTGGTCTGCACCACACAATTTGACCCTTTTTATATGCCATGCAAAATTGTTCACTATTGCTTCACTAAATTGGGAATGATTTGATATCTTTTCTCTCTGCATTAAACTATAAGTACCTTGGGAATAGAAATTTGTCTTAGTCAATTCTGTGTCCCAGTGTGTAGCATAGCCTAGGTTATTAGTAGGTTATTTGTGAATGAATTGATGACAGTGATACTGTGGACGCTATTCTTAGTCTGCCCAACTTGCCCTACATTTCCTTTCTCTGGCAACACCTCCACCTTCCTAATCACAGAATGGCCCATGAGCCAGTGAAGCACTCATAGGCCACCAGTCAGAATCCTTCTGGGTGAGTTCTCAAAATGAAACTGAAATACAGAAGCTCTTTTTCTTTCTCATTGACTACTCCAGATAGATCAGGAATGGACTGTGTCCATTTCTCCCTTCAGCGAACATCTCCAGAAAGAACTTTTTCTCTCTCTAATGGCACAGAGATCAGAGTACCCCGAGGCCTCCTAATGCCTTTATTTAGAGTTGTTAGTGACTAGAGCTGTATAGAAGAGCTTTTAAATGCAGGAAAACTGCGTTCTTCCTCTGTCACTTACTGATGATTCTTCCAGTAACTTCTTATTTGCTTATAAATAATGTATCATCTGATAAATTGCTTGTAATTCCATTCGTAGATTAAGTGTATATATGTTCACAACTTGAAATCTTCCCAGTTTGCCTTTACCTTTGATTTCCTTTATCCTGTTAAAGTTTTACTTCATCTTAGTATCCTTATCAGAGAGATGAGCAACATGAGGCTCTCCTATTCTCAGAAGGATAAGTGCCCCAGAACTAATTAGCCTAAGTCTAAATCTCAGCTCTGTCACCTATTAGCTATATGACTTTAGACATGGTATTTAGTCTATCTAAGCCTTAGCTGTTAATTCCCATGCAATAGTTTGGGGGATTAAATGAGATTTATATGTTAATTACCTACTACAAAATAAATGCCCATTTTAAATGTTAGCTATTCTTGAAAGATTTTGTATGTTGTTAATATTTCTCAGATTTTTAAAAAAGATTTATTTATTTATGCATACAGAACTGGGGTACAGGCCATAGGTGTAGGGGCGGTGAGAGGCTTCACCAGAGACAGAGTGGGGAGCAGAACAGGCAGATCGACGAAGTACACTGCTGAGGGGAGCAGCGGGCGGGTCAGGAGAGGTCTGCCACGCCATGTGGTCTCCTCCAGGGCAGGCAGGAATCAAACTCATGCAGAATTGGCTTTAGCTTCTCAGTGCAGTGCTTTAACCCGCTGCGCCACCAGGGAGGGCCTGTATCGAGAAATTTTAAAAGCCAACAACTAAAAAGCAAATAACCCAGTTGAAAAAGGGGCAAAGGACTGGAATAAATATTTCTCAAAAAAAGTTATACAGATGTCTATTAAGTACCTGAAAAAATGCTCAACACCAACATCACACTGAAAATGCAAATTAAAACTACATTGAGATATCACTTATACCCATTAGGATGGCTACTATTTTTTTTTTAATTTATTTATTTATGCATACAGAACTGGGGTACAGGCCAGAGGTGTAAACACAGTGAGAAGATTCACCAGAGACAGAGTAGGGAGCAGAACAGGCCAACTGATGAAGTACACTACGAGGGGAGCAGCGGGCGGGTCAGGAGAGGTCTGCCAAGCCATGTGGATCACCTTCAGGGCAGGGATCGAACTCATGCTGAAGTGGCTTTAGCTTCTTAGTGCTATGCTTTAACCCACTGCACCACCAGGGAGGGCCCAAGATGGCTACTATTAAACAAAGAACAGAAAACATGGGGGTTAGAGTCAGGACAGCTGTTGTTTGAGCATACAAACTTGTAGTGAGCAGCAAATAAGCCCTATCGAAACAATGGACAAGATAGTGAATATAGGCAACAATATAGGCAACAATCATTAAACTTACACAGAGAATAAAACATAATTAATCCAACTACAAGAAAGAAAGAATAATATGACTAATATAATAAAGGTGCTAATTATTGCTACAATAGCAATAGAATTACAATATACAAATGTGTCAAATTAATAATGTCATACACCTTAAATTTATATGTCAAATATATGTCCCCAAAAGTGTTTTATAAAAGAACATAGGGGAAATTTTTCTGACCAGAGGTAGGGGAAAGGAGGAAAATTTCTTAAATGAGACATACAATTTACTAACTATAAAAGATTGAGCTGTATGAGTTATTTAATATTAAGAATTTCTGATCATGAAACGATACCATGAAAAAATAATAAATCAAAACTATATTTTCAATTCACATGATCAATAGAGTTGGTACACAGAATAAATGTCTGAAATTCATTTCTTTAAAATCCAATTTTGAAATGACCAAAAGTTCTGAACAGCCATTTCACAGAAGAGAAAATCATGTGGCAAATAAACTTAAGGAAAAAATCTCACCCTCATTAATAGAACAATAATATACCTTTTTATGCCCATTACAATGCAAAAATTTAGGAAGTCTCACTATAATGTTCATAATAGCAGCATAATGGAAACTCTTACATACTGATAGAAAGAATGTGAATTGGTATACAATTGTCATTGTGTTTTAAAGTAACATTCACAATACCTTGTAATCCAGCAATTCCATTACTAGGAGA